ATAATTTAGACTTGTATTAAAAAAAAAAATTAGAAGTTAATGATTAAAGTATAGTTTTTCTCTCTAAATAAAAAGTATTAAGGCAAAGAGAAGTTTTTTAGTTTACTTTCATCTAAATTGACATTGATTTATTGGGAAAGTTTAAAATAGGTCTTATCATTATTAAGAGCTACGTCTTAATTATAGATTCCTTTCAATCAGCACATAATAATACTAAGTAATATTTACTTATATCACAGTGCCATATAATTTCATACTAGCGGCTCATCCTCACTTCGCTCGGGTTCGTCTCTAGAAAAAAAAACAAATGCATTTCTCGGGAACCGTATATTTTTTCGGGATAAAATGTCTAGCCTATGTGTTATTCCAGACTATAATCTATCTCCGTGCCAAACTTCATCCAGATCCGTTCAGCCATTCTGGCGTAAAAGAGTAACAAACTTACATTCTTACAAACTTTCGCGTTTATAATATTAGTAAGATGTGAATGAACCTTTTTTTAACGCGACAATTAAGATTATTATCGATGAAATTTTTGGATATAGTTTATGGGTTGGAGAGTGCTATATTATGTTCTTTTATTACGGTACATCAATTAGTTTCTGTGGCATATGTGTAAGCCCAATAAATTACTTATTGATGCGTCTGTAAGGGACAAGGTCACTTGTATCATGGTGTTTCATGTAGATTAAAGAAAAATAGTTACAAAAAGTTAGTTTTGAAGTAAGCGAGTAGTAGTAGAGAAGTAATTCTATCGTCGCCATATTATTTGGGCATAAAAAAGCTCGAAGAATAATTCGAATTAGCACCGTTCTTATTATTTAGTTGGGATTTGGTATTATGTCATCTATGCTAGTAGCTAATAAGTGCATAAAATGTAACATAATAACGGTAAATTCTTTATAAAGAGGATGAGTGAATTTTCTTCTATTATATTTTATAGTCCTACTAGCGACTCACCCTCGCTCCGCTCGGGTTCGTCCCTGGGGTGGGGTCTGGGAGGACCACCCTTATGCTTATCACTTAGGGGTATGAAAAATAGATAGTAGTCGATTCTCGGACCTACTGAATACGCATATAAAATTTGGTAAAAATCGGTAAAGCCGCTTCGGAGGAGTACAGTAACAAACATTGTGACATGGAAATTTTATATATAACATGAAGTCCGCCAGTGTAGCTACTGCGTGTATTAAGTAATATTTTATTCTATCAGTTTAACTATTTTTGTATCCTGAACAAATGTAAGCGTTCAATATTTTTATATAGATTTTCCCAGGAAAGAAAAAAAAATATATTATAATTTTTCAACCATTTTCATTTCTCTAATCGTCGGCCTAATTTGTTAAACTGCTAGTGTATTTCTGCATAGTTTACAGGACGAAAAAAAAGTGGAATTATATCTTTCTTAGATTTACGCGAATGTTTGACATTTTAAATAAAACAATCTTTTCGGATTTTTTCGCGAATTTAATTTGATTTTTGGTTCCATCTAACACCTCAGTCTCTCCCGCGACCATGATTGCTGTAAAGCATTCGAAACGTCGGGAACCAAAAATCAAAATAAATTCGCGAATAAATCCGAAAAGATAGTTTTATTTAAAATGGTATTATATGATTTCATTTTTAGAAATCAAAATTCCGAAAACACTGTTGTTTTCTATAACTTCCCTTGATATTTTTCTATCGTCGCTATTCCTTTAACATAATGTAGGTAATCGTCTGAACTTCTAGACGTCATAGGCATAAACAGTAAAATTGCGCAAAAACCGACTTAGCAGGTTAACGAATTAGGCCGACGTAGTGTTTTATATTAAAAAGCCCTTTTGGTGGGTATGTCTGAAAACTTTTTACATATAAATGTGTGATTTTATAAATTATAATTATAACGTACGACAAATATGTTAAAATAATTTATTATGTTAATAAACAGGGACGAAAATAAGCAGTTTACGACTTATTTGAAACTAGAAACGGCTCGCGTGCGAATTATTTAGTAAAAATAAAAAGCACGTAGCCAAAATGTAAATGTATCCTTTGTGTGCGTTTTATGGCGACTCGTGTCGTGTGTAAAGCCTTTAAATATAAAATAGAAGCTGTTTAAAGTAATGTTCACTGGACGTTTTCATTATATTTTCTTGATTTGTAATAGATATTACTTGTTTTTAGTATACGAAGTTTCGACTTATTTCTAAGATTATAATTTAAATTACAGCTGAAATATAATATTATTCTTTACAATATAAAGTATAAAACATTTAACGTGTATAACAATTTTAGACACTGACCCCTCGATTTTTTAAAAAAAAAACCAATAGTTATTTTTAATAAATATTTATTTTCCTTTATTTGTCAGTAAGTACAACTCTAAGCAAGCATGTAAACATATATAATCAAGATTTCAGAATTTACTTTATATAGGTACATTACATTAAAAATAAATGTTAATATTAAAATTTATTTTTATTTATAATTAATTACAAACAACTAACTCATCATATAAAGAATCATAAAAAACATATTCTCTTAAAATGCGAGCAAACGAAATAGCTGACAAAAGCGGCTTAAATCTTTCATAAAACATGCACTGAAAGAGTTTTCAGTAACGAGACGCATTCTGTGTATGTGCGGTTACATCTTGTCAAAGGAACTTCAAACGTATTATAACTATTTCAAAGGCATCTTTCCTTTCATAATTGTGAGAAAACAAAGAATCTTAAGAATTAGGCATGTGAATTTACATACCTTTAATATAAGAAGGTAATGTAGCGTATTCGAAAACATATTTTCTACTGTTTCGACTTTTGCTTTATGAGATTCAACCCCATGTATTTTTACTAACTGATTTTCAAAAAATCTTTCTTCAATTTCATCCTTTCAGGTCCAGCAGTTAAATCTGGCAGACACGGAAGATAACATTTATATATATATATATATATATATATATATATATATATATATATACATATATATACACACACATTGTGTGTAAAACCACGGAAGAGAAAAAATATTGTATGATGATGAGTTTGTATAAGTACCTTTTTAGAAATTTTATATTTTTAGCGCGAGCGAAGCCACGGGTTCTGGTAGTATAATTAAATCCAAAAAAATTGTTACTTCTAACGAAAAAAATGGTATTTTATTACCTACTATTTTAATGAAAAAAGTACGAAGTAAAAAACAAATTATGATTGAAAAAACCTAACGATGTACATATTTGTTCAGTCTTTTTATGAAACAAAAATATGTAAACCCTTTTTTAACTATTTTACAATAGATATGCATTCTAAAGCGGTTTACCAAATCAATTTAAACCTAATTCGTTGTTCATCAGATAAATAATAACGGGAAAAACATTCACTAGAAAATAATAGGGGAAACTCAATTATAACCTTAGATTAAATTCACGCCTAAAGTTCTTTTATAGGGCGTTTTTTATAATTCAGTGTTTTAGGCGTTGAATGTTTAATTTTTAAATTTAATTTTAACAAAGATTTTGCTTTGAACACAGAATGTTTGCTATATTTATGTATGATTTATGTATTTATACTGTATGTATTTATACTAAACAAGGCGTTATGTACTACTATAAATGTATAAGTTTGTGTGTTTGTGGGTGTGTTCCTTCTTCTCGCTGAGAGGGTTGAATATATTTGGGTAAATTTTACTAAATTTTAATGAAAGATATTAATTGCACATGGCCTTGAGTGGCACTTAGGATGCATATACATATGTATAGTGAAATAAATTTTAATTTTGCCTTTACATTTACTGCTTAATCATTAATTATTATTTTATACATTTTTTACCTAATTAAAATTTTAAAATTTTTCTAAATATCTACGTTTGTGTGAAAGTGTTGTGTTGTGAGTTTGTCAGATAGTTTACCACTGGAATGCAATTCAACTGGGAAGGTCTCTCCTAATTCCTAACATCTCCAAAATTGATGTTTTCAAACAACATTAGTAGGTCTTTGGTTTGATTTGTGGTAAACAAAAACTTTGGTCTACGCTATAAAATAAAAGTCTACGCTATAAATTTGAAATACTTTAAGTTGTATTAATTTACAAAAATTGTATAATATATGTATATTATGTAATAGTAAGGGAGCCCAAGGGGGGATTCTGGGATTTACTCAAGCGCGGCAGATTAACATAAGGGGGATGACTTACACTCTGTTGAGTACCTACCTCCACCATATATAAGTCCTCTGTATGGTTGCGCGTCTATGGCAGCCGAGCAAAATATTAAAAAATATATTTTAATAGGTTAGAAATAATTGAAACCGTCATAAAATTTACTCATATACAGGTGTGTATACGGTTTACATAACAAAAATGATAAATGCTTCATATTAAATTATATGAAATAAATAAATAAATTATTAATAAAAACACTGAGCTATTTAATAAACTTTAATATTATTTAATGTTTGACGTTAATTGAAGATTTTATATAAGCAATCTTTAGAAATTTTACAAAGCGTATTTTGTATCCAATAAGCATTTTATGGTGTTTCGTCTGTTGGCGTTATCGGTCTCCCTTGACAATGTCATCAATAATTTCCTCACAATATTATTGAAATTTCAAACTCGACAAATTAATTATTCCAACAAACAAGTCAATTGATTAATTCTACGGTTTTATTAAAAGCGCATAAATTTACAAATGTATTTGCGACTTAAATAAGCTAAATTGTGTATCTTTATAAATATTAGAAGAAATTGTCTTTAAAATATCATCCTTTTAATATAGTTTTGTACAGTACGAACTGTTAGCGACTTATTTACTAATCTAAGATACATAATATGTATAAATGTTTTTGTTAATTATATTTAAATATTGGTATTCTCTGGTTTGTCATCAGGCGTATTTCCTGATTCAGGTTTGTCATCTGGTTTAGGTATTTTTTCTGATTCAGGTGTTTCTTCTGGTACAGGCATATTTCTCTAGTTCAGCTTTGCCATTTGGCTTAGGTGTATTCTGGTTCAGGTTTTTCATTTGGTATTAGTTGTATTCTTTGCTTTAAGTTTCTCGTTTGGTTTAGGTGTATTTCCTGGTTTAGGTTTTTCATCTGGTGTAGGCGTATTCTCTGGTTCAAGTTTTTCATCTGGTTTAGGCGTATTCTCCGGTTCAGGTTTTTCATCTGGTTTAGGCGTATTCTTTGGTTCAGGTTTCTCATCTGGCTTAGGCGTATTCTCTGGTTCAGGTTTATCGTCTGGTTTAGGTGTATTTTCTGGTTCAGGGTTTTCATCTGGTGTAGGCGTATTCTCTGGTTCAGGTTTTTCATCTGGTTTAGGCGTATTCTCCGGTTCAGGTTTATCATCTGGTTTAGGTGTATTTTCTGGTTCAGGTTTTTCATCTAGTTTAGGTGTATTTTCTGGTTCAGGGTTTTCATCTGGTTTAGGCGTATTCTCTGGTTCAGGTTTTTCATCTGATTTCGGTGTATTTTCTGGTTCAGGTTTTTCATCTGGTTTAGGCGTATTCTCTGGTTCAGGTTTATCATCTGGTTTAGATGTATTTTCTGGTTCAGGTTTTTCATCTGGTTTAGGCGTATTCTCTGGTTCAGGTTTCTCATCTGGCTTAGGCGTATTCTCTGGTTCAGGTTTATCATCTGGTTTAGGCGTATTCTCTGGTTCAGGTTTATCATCTGGTTTAGGTGTATTTTCTGGTTCAGGGTTTTCATCAGGTTTAGGCGTATTTTCTGGTTCAGGTATACCATCTGGTTTAGGTGTAATCTCTGGTTCAGGTTTTTCATTTGGCTTAGGTGTATTTTCTGGTTCAGGTTTTCATCTGGTTTAGGCGTATTTTCTGGTTCAGGTTTTTCATCTGGTTTAGGCGTATTCTCTGGTTCAGGTTTATCATCTGGTTTAGGTGTATTTTCTGGTACAGGCTTTTCATTTGGTTTTGGTGTAGGGTTTAAACAACCGAAAGGTTTTTTTTTACTAGGATAGAGCCCACAAAAGCTTTTCAAAAGTTTGTCTGGTGCTACGTCTGTAATAATTTGCCTTTTCGGTAAAGCAACTGTGGGGGTCTTATCAATGTTACATTTTTTAAATGCAATTTCAGCTGCCTTCGCAAATAACTTAACGCTCATTCTGATGCACAGATTAAGACGTTTCATATCTAATGGAAGTGATTTAATGCAATTTCTATTATTTTTTGCTTCACAGCTAAGATATGAAGCTTGCAAATACGGGTTTCTTGATAACTGTGATAGAACACATTGTCTTTGACCAGTTTTCGATGTCGTATCCTTAAAGTAAAATTTAGTAATAATATTAGTTGCAGAATTTTCAATTACCCACTGAAACGTGTTTTTAAAAAATTCGACATCTTTATCCTTTGTGAAATCTGAGAAAATTGAAATTATTTTGTTGCAATTTACAGCATATGGTACTATTACTAATATAATGAGTGTTAACAACTTAGTCATTTTCACGAATCTATTCAAGTTAAGTAATTCAACCTTTATATTATATATCACTTTAAGTATTTGTTTTAAAATTTTAAACATACCTGGTTTTATGTTTATTGCCGTATTTTTTTTATTACTGCCTTTTTATCTAAAGTATTTAAACTTAATTTAATGACATTATGGAAGTACGTATTTGAGTAGTTACATGTTTGTTATTTATAATATAATATTATCATACTAGTGACTCGGGTTCGTCCCTTGGTTGCCTCCCCATACAAACTTCCATCCCCATTTTCAACCACTTAAGGGATGATTTCCGGGATAAAAACTATTCTATGTTCTTCCCAGGGTCTTAAACTATCTTCTTACTAAATTTCATTTAAATCGGTTTAGTAGTTTCGGAGCCTATTCGGTACAAACAAACAAACAAAAAATAAAATCTTTCTTATTTATAATATTAGTATAGATATATGAGGTTATGTTATGTGTTTATAACTATTTTATAAACATTATAAAGATCTTACTTAGTAATATTATAAATGTGGATGTTTAGATGTTTGGATGTTTGTTACTCAATTACGCTAGAACGGCTGAACGGATCTGGATGAAATTTAGCACAAAGATAGGTTAAAGTCTGGAATATCACATAGGCTAGACTTTTTATTCGGAAAAATGTACGGTTCCCGTGGGTTAGATTTGTTTTTGTTTTTCATTAGTAACAGACCCGAGCCAAGCGATTGTAAATGCTAGTAAGCGATAATTTAATAATAATACTTATTTTTTAATTTCGAAAGAATTCCCTTTTAAATTATATAAAAAAAGAGAGGACAAATCGTTTTTTCGTATTTTACGTTAGTAGTAATAAGTTAGTTCAGCGTACTAAACGTTTTCATCTCTATAGAAATATCTCACTATGCCAAAGCGTTGTATTGACGATTTAGAATCATCAATCATAGATGTAAATGGGCAAACGAATTGCGGTCAAAGTTCTATAGTAAAAGGCACCCTAGGCAAAGCTTTAAAAGTAGGCAGTAATGACTCCAAACCACGTTAGTGTGTGGTTTGGGATCATAACTGTTAAACTAATCTGAATCTCATTTTAACTTTATTTGGCTAGAGAAAGCGTTCATTTTCGTTTGTCCGAACATTTTAAGTGTTTCATACTGTAGTCGGTAAACGAAAAAGTTTAAATGAATTCAAATGCTAAGAGGTGAATATGGCTGTAAATATGAACCGTACTCTCGTTGGTGGTAGAGAAATAATCTTATTAGTTAAATGTCAACTTTAATTAATTTAGTTATGAGTTTAGTTTAACACCTTATATTTGATGTGTTATAATATTTAAAATTAATTTATTAGGTTATTTTTGTGCATTTTCTTAATTAAAATCCACTCATTTGGTAAACAGTTTGCAGATTTTAAATCTAAATTATGTATTCCATCAGATTAATTAGTAACAATAGTAATTATATTATATTATTCTTCAATTTCCGAATATGGCTCATGTTAGAAATTTAATTTAAATCATAACGTATGTACTACTTGACTCACATATAATAGCGGATATTCCATTGAACTTGCATCAGAAGATGGTATTGGACATAATATTAATAGTAAACTAGCGAGTCATCCTCGGCTTGCTCGGTTTCGTCTCTAGGTACGTTTTAACGGTTCGTATAGAGTATATAGACTACAAGCAGAACTCGAGCTTTCGCTCGCGCTAAAACTCATCCCCTATTGTATCCCATTGTGGGATAAATTTCGAATAAATGCTAAAAAACGTATTTATTTAATAGTATTGAAGATTATTAATGCCAAGTTTCAAGTAATACTGATAATAAATAATTTTTTGGTTGGAGATAATCTCTTGCGGTAAAAAGTAGCCTCTGTCACTCTCCAGCCCCCCCAACTATCTCCGTACAAAAAAATTATGCAAATCTGTCACTCTTTTTCGACGTAAAAGAAGGACAAACAAACAAATTAACAAATACACTTTCACATTTATAATATTAGTATGAATATATGTCAACAAATATGCAATTTATTTAAAACCTTAGAACAGCAAAAAGCTCATTCATATTTGCAAAACAAAGGTAGTAAAAAACACGCATCTCATTACTGAAGCGTATTTTTGAACAATACTAGTGGCAGTGAATCACGAATGGGCATTTATTTTGTGTGAAAATATGATAATAAAGCCATTATATGCAACCATGGCATGACTGAGGGGTATAACATAGGGGTATGAGGGGTCTCGCTGAGTTGCGAGATTAAATATGACTTCAAATGTTACTAGCCTGATTTATTGCGGGGTATAGAAAAAACTTTTACTACTTTACTTTTTTTTTAACTTTTATTACTTTTATTCAATTATATAGGTAATAAGATTTATTTACACAATGTAAAAACGCTTGCCAGCGATCTAACTCGCATTTCTTTTGTAGTTATTTATTGCACTTCTTTTAAATAAAATTATCTTTTCGGGTTTCTTCGCGGATTTATTTTGATTTTTGGTTCCCGACGTTTTGAATGTTTACAGCAATCATAAAAATCAAAATAAATACGCGAAAAATTCCGAAAAGATAGTCTTATTTAAAACTAGCGACTCACCCTTGCTTCGCTCGGGTTCGTCCCTACTACTTTTAAAGTTTAGTATATAGATTTCTTAAAGATGAAATATTTTTCCGCAGTAAAAAGTATCCTATATGTTGACCCGGTTAACCAGCTATCACCATACCAAATTTCATTATAATCTGTTCGGGAGTTTTCTCGTGATGCGGTAACAGACAGACAGACAGACAGACAGATAATAATTTTTTAGAATTCGGCCTCTGTATCGATAATAATGACTATTTCAATAAGATTTTTCAAAAAGTATTTAATATACAGATTCGGCTTAGTTATAATTTTATTAGGTATATGTATAGATGTCAAATAATCGCGTAAATCTAAGAAAGAATTAAGTATATGTTAAAGCTGGTGGTTAAGTATTAAGTACTCATATTGCTGTAGATTTTTACAACGCTTAAACATTACTGGTTACTGTTTATTAAAAAAAACCATAAAAACGGTTTTTTCAAGTAACATCTGTAAGCCATTAGGGAGGGAGTCAGAATCATTATTCAATAAAAACAGTGTGAAATGATACTTATGCATTTATTTACAGTAAAGGAAACACATTGAAATTACAAATAAGCTTAATCATATATATGTACATACAAAACAAATATACACTTAATTATTACTGTAGGTCCATTGTTAAAGTTACGGGTGAAATTATTATTTTTTAAATAACTCATGCTGTAAAATAACTTTCTAAATGAACGAGGAAATTACCTAAAATGTGTGCATTAAACTTGTATCAGAAGATGGTAACAACATATTCTCATAATGATATTTTATACACGAGAACGGAAGCTTAACGAGTATTTAGCGACGTACTAACGACTAGTAATGCATTTTCAACCTTATCTGAACTATGAAACTCATGAAAGTTTTCAATGTCTTTATTACAGTAATAATTTATATTTTCCTTTTTTGTATCAAATTGTGGATTATTTTTTGTACATGAATATGAATTACAGCAATTTTATGCGAGTTTGTATATGTATGTGTCATTTATTTGTCGTTTTATATATATATATAGAACCCGAACCGAACCAGAACCCGCGGCTTCACTCGCGCTAAAACTACAAAAATATCTTTAAAAAGGTAGTTCCATACAAACTTTCATCCCCTATTTTACTCCCTTATAGGATGAATTTCGTGCACACATGTTTCAAGTAATTCTGATCATTTTTCTTTGTATTATAACGGGTTTTCCCGTAGGAATTAGATAATCTTCCGTGGTAAAGTAGCCTATGTCACTCTCCAGCCCTCCAACTATCTGCACACAAAAAAATCACGCCGATCCGTTTCTCCGTTTCGACGTGAAAGAAGGACAAACAAACACACTTTCACATTTATTAGTATGGATATATATATATGTAAGTGTCATTAATTATTATCACTGTACAATATATTTTTTAATATAAATTGAGATATAATAAAAAAATTGTATAAGAATGACAAGGTAATTTGAACGCAAACAACGAAGATTTATTCATTGCTGAAATTCCCTCTCAAAATTCTCTATAGGCTTTGAAAACAGCTATATTAGAAAGTGCTTATTCATTAATGTGCATGCTTTGATCACACGATCTGACCACTAAGACGTTTAATGGGTATTGACGGCACTTTCCCGTGGCTAATTAGTTCATATCTCGGCAAGATGCATTACAGCTTAAACTTACCATAGATGTTGTATCTGTGTAGGTAATATGTAACTACTAACGAGTCACCCTCGCTTCGATCAGGTTCGTCCCTAGGTACGTTTTAACGGTTAGTATGGAATAGATAGACTATTAACTAAATATGTTGGGACATTAACACACAGCACCATCTAGTTCCATGGTAAGCTACGAGGGTTGTGTTATGGATTCCAGATAGTTGATACACTACATATATATAACTGTAAATACATACATATTATAAATAAAAACACCCATGACTGGAGTACAAGCATTCGAGCTCATCACACAAATGAATGCCCCCAGCGGGACTCGAACCCGCGACCGCTGGCACAGCTAGTAGGGTCACTACAAACAGCCAAACGTGTCGTCAAGATCACTATTATTATA